TTAGTAGTTACTATAATATCGTCATTCAATAATTAGATAAAACAGTATTATATATTAAGTCTAAGGTAAACTTTATATAAGGGAACGTTTTTTTGTCTTTTTTTTCTTTCTTTAAATAACCCAACCGAACAATCGATATTACTAAAACCTTTTGAATAAAAAACTTTTGACATTTTTGTTTCCTTTTTTTTTGAAAAACAAAATGTGTGGAAAAAGCGCCCAAAAAATTTGAATAGTACCTCGATGTCGATCAGTTTCCCCTATCATGCTACTTTGACAAAGCCATCGTTCAACACCTTCACAAAGCCAAAATCGTTCCAGAACATCTTCACGAAGCCAAAATCGATCACCAACGCCACCTCGTTCTAATCGATACCAATGATCTATTCGCAGGTCCAGGTTCCGCTCTCCTTCACGTAAAAGAAGTTATAGACGTTCCAGTAGACGTTCTAGGTCCCCTGATAGAAATGATAGAGGTACTATTAAGACTTTTTTTTTTTAATAAAGCTATTCATATACCGATAGGTCTAATGGTTTATTTTGTAAATACTAGATATCAGTTTTTTGAAGGAAGCAGTTCATTCGTTATTAAGCGAATTTAAAGAACTAAAAAAAGCTTCCTGACCTCCAACTCCAAGCATACAAGAACAAGGCAACAATGTCTATAATTATCAAAGCGATGAAGGCATTGAAACCACTAGTACTACCGGATTATCATTTTCACTAGAGAACTGTGAACTAACAGACCTGGAAAATGAAACGAATAATAATCGTCCCACCAACAATGCCGGTAGCAATTATCATACTATCAACAACAACTATCAATATAGCAATACCACCACTGACAATGCCGGTAACAGTACCACTACCTCCAAAAATGGTACCAATAGTTCTAATAACACCACCAGCAATAGTCTTACCACCACTGATATTGCACCCACAACCACCACCACAGCAATTGCACCCACAACCACCACATCAAACAAAGGCAAACAGAAACAGCAAGCCGGTGGTAATAATAATAATAATCGGCAAAAACCATCAGTATCTCCAGAACCACCTACCGGTTACCAAAGAAGGTCACGTGAAATCTTGGAAGAAATGGATGAAGATCAATATAAGTTGTTTCATGTATGTGAAAATCGAATTTGTAGTTATTAAATTTCCTATAATACTTGTAGCACATATATTAAAGTAATTATAGAGCTATCGGTTTAATGAATATTTATTTTAATGTGCAGGATGAAGTGGTTCAAATAGTAGTGGCCTTGATGAAAGGTTACGTATAGATTATACAAAAAATTGGAGTGAAATAGCTCGCTATGTGGCCACGAAAACTATGCCAGCAATCGGGAAGGCCCTAGAGGGCAATTTTAGGTATAAATTGAGTGAATTAAAATACGTCCTAAAAAGTCTTCACCAACATTGTCGGGAAAAATAGAAAATTGACAATGATCGTGAGAAATTAGCGAAAAATAAAAAAAGAGTAGGCGTAAACAGTAGACGTCAATCAGTATGTATAGGCCTATTCGATTAATCAAAATAAGTTATGGGCACTTTGCAAGTTATTATATTTGTATTATATAAAAATCTTTTCTGTATTACTATAAGCATTGTTAATACAAATATAATAACTTGCAACATTATAATAGGCCCAATAAGAATTATTTTAATAAACTACTGATCAACCGATATTAATATCATTAATCTAGAAAAAAAATAGAAGAATCAGAGGCATACACCATATGCTTAATACTAATGATAAAAATCTTGCAGATCTTGCCCCTTCTATGAGTTGGGACAATTTTAGAGAAGACCTTGAAGAAATTATTAATGATAGTAAATACTATTTGGATGAAATATCTGAAACTGATTATGAAAAATCGAAAGCAGAACGACGAATGAAAGTTCGTCTGGAATCAAAAAAAGTAACTGACTATCATGTATACCATGTTTACGATAAGCCATAGAGATCACGTAGAGTAAGTAATTGTTATTGTTATGGTTATTATAATTATAATTATATTATTTTACATTTTTTATTTCTTTATTCTATGTAAATCAGATTAAAAAAATTTTGCAGTTCACTAATGAAGTGGGGAAAAAAATTTTGTATATTAAATGTGCCAGAAAACGATGATACAATAACAACATATGGTTTGATAAATCTAAGCCGCCAGTTGATGCTCCTGTTTGGGCCATTTCTTCTTCTTATCATTCTAACGAAGAAGAAGAAGAAGAAAAAATGGATGAATTGGAAAGAGACGAAGACGATGAAAATGCCGCTGCAAGTAGCAGCCAAGCTGCTGATATTACTGAAATTTTCGACGAAAGAACTGAAGAAGGTGATACTGGCACCGGTGGTGAAAATGTAGGAGGCAATTGATAGCTTAGTATATAGCTACATTGATTATTGCTTTTAGTATAATGATATAAATATATGTATATCTATAATAAAAATAATGCTATAGCGATAGTAAATATATTTAGTTATCTATTGCTTTAAAAAATTTCTAGTGTAACATTTAATAAAAACTACGGAATTGAGTACGATAATAGAAAATCAAATCAAAAACCGTATCGAAAACCGGTATATATCTGTAATTAACCCGATAGGTTTCTGAAATTTAACCGGTCATATGTAATATAGTAAAATTAGAGTGGCTATCGGAAAATTAAAATGTTTATCAAAAAACTGATATTGCTATGATATAAGTTTAGAATAGCACCGATAGGTTCTCAAAATTAGCCAAATTTCTGTAAAATATAGGAGCTGAATTGGTAAGATATCAGTTATATATACCGGACTATTATCATAGCTATATCGGTAAAATATCAGTTACTATCGGCATTCCGATACTTCTCCGGTATTCCTTTGTTCGACCTGTGTTGATTTGGGTTTAATATTTGAAATCTATGTTTTTCTGAAGGCTTCCAATTTGAACATCCTACAAATTTTGTTATTGGATCATTCTTAGTTCTTCTACCAAGTTGGCAAACTATTAAATGTCCCAAATACTTTCTATTATTATATGGACAAGTAACACTTTGATTCATAAATGAAATATATTTGCTAAAATATAAAATTATTAATAAAAATTATAAATTTTTAAAAAAAATTTATAAAAAATCAATTCTTACGCATAAGTTTGAATCTCTATAGATGTCTGAGATTTACTTGGCTAATTTATCATAAAAAATCTTTATTTTCATTGACCTCACAATGTAATACATTTTTAATACTATTATTTGTATATTCACAAGCTTTAACTTCTATGCATTTGTGAATAATTTTTTTTACATTGCAATTTAAATATGGGTATCTGATTTTATTAGAACCACCGCCTCCTTCTATTGAATATTGCATCTAAAAAAAATTAAAATTTATTATTATAATAATAAATTTTAAATATAATAAAAAGAGAAGATGAAAGTAGCCTGCTATATACAGTATAACAATTTTACTTATATCATTAAATAGTGTATTTGGATTAGACGAATTTATATTAAAAATATATGCAACACCTTCATTAAATATAGCCAGGTATTCAATAGAAACAGCAGAGAAATGTAGATTCTCTATAGTAAGTTCTTCAGTAAAATAGTTGATAACAGGTGTTTCAGAAAAAATTTCGCAATCATTATTTTTAATTGATAAATTAAAATCTTCATCCTAAATAAGAAAATTAATAAAATATCTTTAATAAATTGTATAACTTTAATTAAAAAATATCAGTAATATTACAAACATTTTTTGTAAAAAAAAACTATAATATAATACTAAATTCGTTTTTATTAAAATAAAATAACACCAACAGCTTTTAATTAATTAAAAAAAAAAACTATGCTAGATAATTCTAAACCAAAAAAAAATTATACTATATTCATCTTACCGTAACGGTAATATCAACTCCCAAATCATTTAATTTAATAATCAGAAAATCGGATTCTGAGAAAGAATCAATTGTTAAATTAATTACACCCTCACAAAAACTCTCACTCACACTTTCTTTTTTAATCTTATCCATGAAACTATCGACAGAATTCTAATGTTATAAATTATTAAGAATTTCAATTGATGTTTTCAAATCTCAAATAAATGATTCTTCTTTTTGCACATCAAATAAGTAACTCTTCTTTTTATATATCAAATAACTAACTTTTCTTTCTGTATATTAAATAAAGATTATTCTTTTCATGCATCAAATGAGTGATTTTTTTTCTGCATATCAAATAAGTGATTTTTCTTTTTATACATCAAATAAGTAACTCTTCTTTCACATATTAAATGAGAATAAGTAACTCTTCTTTCTGCACGTCAAATAAGTGACTCTTCTTTTCACTTGTCAAATAAGTAACTCTTTTTATTACACATCAAATAATTGACTCTTCTTTCTACGTGTCAAATTATTAACTCTTTTTTTACACATCAAATAACTAATTTTTATTTCCAAACATCAAATGACTAACTCTTCTTTTCGCACATCAAATGACTGACTCTTTTTTCTACACATCAAATGAGTGATTTTTTTTTTTATATATCAAATAAGTGACTCTTCTTTTTGCACATCAAATAATTAACTTTTTTTTCTATATATTAAATAACTAACTTTTCTTTTTGCGTATCAAATAACTGACTCTTTTTTCTAAATATTAAATAACTAACTTTTTTCTATATATTATATAACTGATTTTTCTTTTTATACATCAAATAAGTGATTTTTCTTTCTACATATTAAATACTAACTCTTCTTTCTGTATATCAAATAAGTAACTCTTCCTTTTGCGGGTCAAATAAGTGACTTTTCTTTTTGTACATTAAATAAGTAACTCTTCTTTTTGCAAGTCAAATGAGTGACTCTTTTTCTGCAGTCAAATGAGTGACTCTTCTCTTTATATATCAAATGAGTAATTCTTCTTTTCGTTTGTCAAATAACTAACTCTTCTTTATATATGTCAAATAAGTAATTCTTCTTTCTGTTTGTCAAATGAGTGACTCTTCTTTCTGTGTATCAAATGAGTGACTCTACTTTTTGCGTATCAAATAAGTAACTCTACTTTCTGCGTGTCAAATAAGTAACTCTACTTTCCACATATTAAATAAGTAACTCTTTTTTCACGTATCAAATGAGTGACTCTACTTTTTACACATCAAATAACTAATTTTTATTTCCAAACATCAAATGACTAACTCTTCTTTTCGCACATCAAATGACTGACTCTTTTTTCTACACATCAAATGAGTGATTTTTTTTTTTATATATCAAATAAGTGACTCTTCTTTTTGCACATCAAATAATTAACTTTTTTTTCTATATATTAAATAACTAACTTTTCTTTTTGCGTATCAAATAACTGACTCTTTTTTCTAAATATTAAATAACTAACTTTTTTCTATATATTATATAACTGATTTTTCTTTTTATACATCAAATAAGTGATTTTTCTTTCTACATATTAAATACTAACTCTTCTTTCTGTATATCAAATAAGTAACTCTTCCTTTTGCGGGTCAAATAAGTGACTTTTCTTTTTGTACATTAAATAAGTAACTCTTCTTTTTGCAAGTCAAATGAGTGACTCTTTTTCTGCAGTCAAATGAGTGACTCTTCTCTTTATATATCAAATGAGTAATTCTTCTTTTCGTTTGTCAAATAACTAACTCTTCTTTATATATGTCAAATAAGTAATTCTTCTTTCTGTTTGTCAAATGAGTGACTCTTCTTTCTGTGTATCAAATGAGTGACTCTACTTTTTGCGTATCAAATAAGTAACTCTACTTTCTGCGTGTCAAATAAGTAACTCTACTTTCCACATATTAAATAAGTAACTCTTTTTTCACGTATCAAATGAGTGACTCTACTTTTTACATGTCAAATAAGTGACTACTTTTCATGTATCGAATGAGTGATTCTACTTTTTGCATATCAAATGAGTGACTCTACTTTTTACACGTCAAATAAGTAACTCTTCTTTCCGCACTTTAAATGAGTGACTCTTCTTTCTGCATATCAAATGAGTGACTCTTCTTTCCGTATATCAAATGAGTAACTCTTTTTTTCACGTGTCAAATGAGTGACACTTCTTCCACACATCAAATGAGTAACTCTTTTTTTCGCACATCAAATGAGTAACTCTACTTTCCACATATCAAATGAGTGACTCTACTTTCCATATGTCAAATGAGTAACTCTTCTTTCTAAGTATCAAATAAGCAACTTTTCTTTTTGTACGTCAAATAAGTAACTCTTCTTTTCACGTATCAAATGAGTGACTCTTCTTTCCATGCATCAAATGAGTGACTCTTCTTTCTGCGCATCAAATGAATGACTCTTCTTTCTGCATGTTAAATAAGTGACTCTTCTTTCCGCATGTCAAATGAGTGACTCTTCTTTCCGCATGTCAAATAATTGACTCTTCTTTCTGTGAGTTAAATGAGTAACTCTTCTTTCTGCACATCAAATGAGTGATTCTTCTTTCCATGCATCAAATGAGTGACTCTTTTTTTCATGTTAAATGAGTGACTCTTCTTTTCACACATCAAATGAGTGACTCTTCTTTCCACATGTCAAATGAGTAACTCTTCTTTTCGCACGTCAAATGAGGAGTATATATATATAGATCGGTTAATCAGTATAGTATTGTCAAATTTATTAGCGTATATGTTATATGGAGTGTTTTCAATTAAAAGGGCCCATTTTTACAATTTTTCAAAAAATAAGTTTTTGTTAGATTCATATAAAATTTGACATGATTGACATTTTTCAATTAT